AAAAAAAATCTGCACTATTGATTTTTATTATCATACCTTACATAGTTTTGATTAATTAGTGCGTGAAATACCCCAATCGTATATCATAATTTTTATTCACGATAGTAGTTTATGCTTAAATGAGAAAAATGATTTTGTACTTGGTTTGCAAAGATATAATCCTAAATTTCAACCGTTAGAGTTCGAATCACCGATTTTTTAATGTGATACTATATTTAAAATGTTCAAATATCTCTGATATTTGTAGAAGTTTATTAAGAACCTCTATAGCTAACATCTTTATAACAACATATCGACAGGTTTGGTTTTTTTTTCTTTTTTTTTTTTTTAGTATTATTATGATTTGAAATTAATTATTTTGCTATAACAATCCATATAACTCTGGTTTAATCGAGGTTTAATAGTAAACAATTATTAGTTTCAAACATCCAATCTCTAGATATAACGGATCGTAAATTTTTAAATTTTAAACTAGTTTAGTATAGAAAGCGTAGTTGGTTTTTTCCTTTCAGAATCATTAGTTCGTTATAGAGTTAATTGTATTTGAGAATCAATCTGAAGAAAGTCTTGAAGTTACCTCTATCATCCAGTGAAGAAAGTTTTGCAAACTGCCTTTATCATCCAGAAAAGAGATGCGTCGTCACAAAACTAGTAAACTATATCGTGCAGAGGAGGGTTGGCTAAGTCAGTAAAGTGACATCTATATAGGAAGTTGAAAAATGATAAACAGTCATGTCCTGCTATAAAATTTCATGTCTCACTAGAAACAAGTTGATCCGAATATTGTAGTATTAGTTTATAAATTTATTGCAGTTGATGAAATTATATCGACATTAATATTCATAAAATATACAGTACTTATATACTAACGCTAATGTTAATTTTCAAATTCTGTATTAAAAAAAATGGTTGCTAGCGGGTGATGCTCGACAATTAATAAACAAATGAATTGTTTAAAAATCTATCCAAAGGGTACTTATATATTTATGTATATATACGTTTTTTTGCATTATTACGTATGTAAATGTTATTAGTGTGCATTTATAAATGTTTTAGGCACTTTTATCGCTAAGTTCTTTATCTGTTTAGATAGGAATATTTCACGTGATATATCGTGTGAAACGGTAGCATTTATACGTATAAATACTTGTGCTTATTTCATTTGTTACATTGCAGTTCACTCTTTTTTTTTTCATTATATCCGATATCTATCAAGCAATTTATATATAATGTCTTTGATACCAGTTGAAATTCTTCGTCTAGTTTTTGGACTTTTATCTAAAGATAAAAAGTCTCTACGTTCTTGTCTTTTAGTGGATCGAACATGGTGTGAAAGTGTTGTTTCGATTTTATGGAATGATCCATTTCAATTTTTGGATGAACCATCTTTCTCAATTATTCAAACTCTTCTTTCATGTCTTAATAATTCCGAATTGGCTATTTTAAAAAACGAAGGGATCAGTATAGAGAATTTAGCAATGAATAGGCCCACCTTTGATTATGTGGCTTTTATGAGACACCTAAAATACGTTAACATATATGATTCAGCCTTAGTTTGGCTAATGCATGAGGGTAAGGATGCATCCCTCGGATTTGTTGTCGCCAGAGAACTTTGTAAGCTTATAATTAATCGTTGTAAGACAATTCTTACTTTATCTATTAGCACAGAAGGCATGGTATCTTTTACTGATAAGAATGATTATGTATCGATACCATGTTTTCCTGGCGCTCGTGATTGTTTATCTAATCTTCAGGAATTCATGTGTTGTGGTGCTTACGATAAGAAAAAGATTTTTAAGAGTATGGCTCAGTCATGTAGAAATATTCGACGTTTAAATGTCGATTATTATATGGATGATCGGACAACTGCCGCTCCTCCGGAGTTGGTAAAACTTATCAAAAGTCAACAATGTTTAATAGAATTTAAGCTTACTATGTTTGCTAAAGTATTTGACATTGTTTCTGCTTTAAGAAGTCAGGAGAAAACTCTTTCGTATGTGGAATTCCGTGGTGTTGAGTTTGGGGATGATGTTACTTTTGAGTCACTTGTGAATTGTACTAATTTAAAGTATTTATCATTATATCAATGTGACAATGTGACTAACAAAACATTAGAACCTTTAACAACTGTATCTTTCCCTAATTTGAAAACATTTATCTTTAAAGTTATACCAAAACCTCCTGTTGCTGTATCTTCATTTATTCGCAGTAATTGTATTAGTTTACAAGAATTGGTTTTAGATTGGCAGCAAGTCACCGATCCAGAGGATGATCCTGAAATTATTGAAACTATCATTGAGCATTGTCCTAATATAACTTCCTTTGAGGGGCATTTAAAGGTTCCACAACAATTAGTTCCTTTTCTACAAGCTTGTTCTCAACTAAAAAGTTTAACTGTTCATGGTAAAGAACGTGTTATTGCCGACGAACTCTTACCGCAACTTGGACCATTAATTCCTGCGAATCATTTTAAGTTCTTGAATTTTGATTATTTTTAAATGATTTGTTATTTCGTTAACAAGTTGTTTACGCAAATT